TTGTTTTAATTCTATTATATTTCATTTTGTGTATTAATTTGCATTTCTCAATTTTTATTATGTTGTTTTTCGTTTATATTCGTTTCTGTTTGTAAGTATTTGATGGGTGTTAAGTGTGAAAAATAATACGATATTTTTATGGCTTTGTTCATTATTCTCTGTATATCATTTAAGATAGTTTTAGTTGTTTGACTCCAAGTATTTATTTCATATAAAATTATGGGTATTATATGCGCTTGTAAAATCAATATCTTATTTTTCCCCCTGAAAGAATGGATCCTTTTTAAAACTCCTGTTAATGCCGCTATCATACTGATTAATATCTTTTTAATTTCATTTATATGTTTTGTCCATGTTAGCTTTTTGTGTATTATAAGGTGTTTTATATATTCCACTTCTTCTATATCTGTATTATTAACTTCCCGAAGGAGAAGTTAATGTTTTCATCAAAAAATCCGATTCGCCAATTTTATGTTTTCTCGACGTTTCAGGCTATTCTGAATCGAATGAGACAAAATTTGGAAAAAGTATGTGTGTGTCTGTGTGTGGACGCACAGATTGTTTGCCGTAATTAATTTGTTTATTACAGATTAAGTCGATTATTTACAAATCGGGAAGTTCATGTAACTTGCCTCAAGGCTAAATACCAATACCAACTAGTTTATTTTTGAGGTGGAGGATACTGGTCTATGCGATGTTTGAATGAAACTTTTACGATTGGCATGCCTATATTCATTAATTGTTTGATCTATTTTCTTACAATAACTACACGTCTTAGAAAAATTATTTGGGTTATATTTTGTTCTAAAAAAACAATTATTAGCGGTGTGCCCTATTTTTTTTACATAATTCACAATTTACGTTAATATGTGATGAAGTTAAATATTCAGTCAATGCAAAATTGATAACATCATTTAGGTCATTGAATCTACATGATTTAATTAAATTTTTTTGATACCATCGACAAAACTTCTAAGAGCCGTCTCCATATATATAATTCGTAATCTTTCCGATATTTCTTGCCCTTGAGAATTGCAGTCTTTGTTTAACATTTTATCAACTATATCTAAAATTCTATCGCCAAAGGATTTAACAGATTTATTTGAAAATTGGTTAACATTGACAAGTTTAGCATATAAAGTGGAAACAGAAGTTTGGTCATAATATTCTTTACATAAATGTGTTTTTAATACTGAATAATTTGCAATTTTATTACGGATAACTTTAAATAATACTTTACTTGGTAACTTTCTTTTTACCATTAAAAATAATTTATGTTCTTCCTCCGGTAACAAATTTACATGTAACGAGTCACATGCATCAATAAATGCACGTACATTGGTTTCATTTTCATCAAAATTCGGAATAATAGCTAGAGCTAAATTTAAATCTAATTTATTTTCATTACCATTACCGATTGTATTCTTCATCTTGTGATTGAATGGTCCCTTGCCCTTGCTTAGGTATAGATCCTTGTCCAGGTTATCCGCTAGACTCGAATATACACAATAGAATCGCCTTCTTGGAAAATTACCACTGCTCGTTCCGCGTCTCAAAATAGCGTGGATGAATCACTTTTCAAGTTTTGGTTTAATTTCTCATAGATAATATTGATAAAAGTTCGGTAATGCACTTAATTACTCGGTTTTAACACATTATTTTAGTTTTATTTGATGATTTGTTTTATTATTGTTGTATTTTATACTATTTTATCATAGTTTTGGTTTTTATTTATTACAGTTATTAGTTATTGATTGATATTTGTAGAATAATTAGTTATTATCTTGTTTATTATTTAGGAACCCGCCAATTATCACCACAATTTTGATATTTTTTTTTTTTTTGATTTATTATACATAGCAAGCTATACAAAGTACATTCAGCTACATTTGTTACAGTAATATAATAATTGACGTCGTAAGAAGGATCGCTATCCTGCGATAGCGCCTTCATAGATTTTAAGTTATATTTTGTAGTAAATCATTGCAGATTCTTTTTTTGAGACGCTTTGGTGGAAAAGGCTTGAGCAGATCTATCGCTAATACGTTTGGATGACGACTTATTTTTAGACGAGCTTTGTATCTGGTGCAGTAAAGACTAATTTCTTATTCTATAGTTCGAATTCTAAGATCTTGATGTATCAACCAATTGGGAACGTATTTTGGGGCGTTCACGATTTCTTTCAAAATTTTATTTTGGAACCTTTGTAGAATAGATATGTTCGATTTACTGGCCGCACCCCATAGTATTTTGATATCTTAACACTTAATTTGAATTCACTAGTTGAAGTTTGTTTTCACACACACATTTTTTTATTATTTTATTATAGATTTCGGAGTAGGTATCATAATTAGCTGCCATCAAATGAAGAGATATTAATTTTTTTACCTGATTCGGCCCTAATTGTGGGATATGGGTCGATTTATAAAAGTTTTATATAAATGGTACCAATATACAAGATTAAATTACAAACATATTTTAATGAAAATGTGTTAAACATAAAATATTATAATGAATACATAATAGTTCTTAAGAATATATATATATATATATATATATATATATATATATATATATATACGAGTATATTGAATGGTAGAGTCTTGGATTTGTGTATATTTTGTAGAGTTTCGAACAAGAATCCAAAAATAATACAAAATAAAAAACAAGAAAAGTTTTTAAAAAAACAATTTCTTTATTTAATTATTTGTTTATTGTCGACGTTTCGGAACTAGGTACGTTCCATCTTCAGGACATCTGTCAAGAAGCATGATGTTGATGAGATTTTAGCAAACAATATGTTTAGGAAAAAAAAATAGATTTTTCTTAAATAATGAATTAATTGCAAAAAAAATATAATAATGTACAGAAATATGATAATATGTTCAAAATGAAAATGATAAAAATAAATGAGTGGATTATCAGAACAGGATATTAAACATAATAGAAAATTTTTTGAAAGTTATGGAAATATTTTTTAAGAAAAGGTTAATGACAAAGTTGAATTAATTACCTGTATGTTTGAATATTTGTTAGCACTTTTTCACTAAACAAGCTTTTTTAACCAAAATGAATTTGTGAGTTAATTTTCCGCCGAATAATTAGATTTTGTAAATCAAAATTACTAAAAGATTTGTATTTTTTAAAATTATTATTTGAAAACACAAATAATATTGTTCTCTGGATGTTGTTCGATTGGCTTTTGAAAATTAACTAATTGAAACTGGTGTGTCCTTTGTAACACGTGTAAACACTTGAACGAGAGATTTGAGATTGTATGTGTGTGTTTTTATATGTTAGGGTGTGAATACTTAAATTGTTGATCTTAAAAGGAAGTCGATATTAATTGTTTGTCAAAAAGTGTAAAAAATTTAAATATGAATCATGTAATAGGTTGTGATCTGATCTAATGTTGACACTGTTAGAAACATTTATGAGAATGAGACAACTCTCCGCGAATAACCTTCTAAAGATGCAACTTTCATGATATAAAATCTTTGGAGTGAAATTAAATGAATGGGCGTTTTCTATAGAGTGTTGTACTAGGGTACTTTTGAAATTTTTTTGTTTATAGTGGACCACACTTAGTTCATGTTGTCTCATTCTCTTGTGCACATATTGGGAGGTTTGTCCAATATATTGAAAAACACAGTCATTACAAGAAAACAGAATATACTACATTAGTATTGAGATTGGATGGGTGGGGGATTAATGTTCGTAAAGAATTGGGTTGAAGGAGTGTAAGGATGAGCCTGATCTAAAATGTTTTCTTCTAACAAAATTTTGGCAAAATAATAATATAAATCTTCAACGTATGGTATGCTGCAGAAATAAGATTGGTGTTTTTGATGGTTAGTACTGGTATTGGGAGATTAATTTGTGTTTTAAGAAAGTCGTCTTTTTTGAATAACTGAATGAATGAGATTTTGGGTAACCATTTTCAATTAGAGTTATTTTTACTATGGATAACTTTGTGGATGGAAAGTTTGGTGAGACAACAAAATAGCATGGTCTGTAAGGGAAATAATAGTGTTTATCTTATAGTTTCTGGGACAGTATGAGGAAATTATACAATATAAATGCCTGATTTTAATTTATTAATTCAATATATTTATAAAATATTTGTATCATTTTTTTTAAACCAATAATAATTTCTGTAAAATAAGATTGTAGCTATAAACTATTTATAATGATATTCGAGTGTCGGAGGATCAAGTAGGTGATTATATCAGAGAATGGCTTCGTCATGCACAGAGCAGTTACACTAGGAATAAAGAGAAGAACAGAAGACAGGTTTTTAAATTTAGTTAGGTTTATTGAATTATTTAGTTAGGTTTTTATTGTATTATTTTGTTAGGTTAGGTTTATTGTATACTTGTAATTGTAAGTTAAATTTTCAATTATATTAAATATATTATATAACAGATGTCGGTGAAATGCTTAGTTTTTTTTTATCTTTCGTGAAAATAAATATTATTTTAACCTTAATTGCATTTATAATTCATTGAATATTCATAATTTCATATGATTTATTTCATTGAGAAAAAAATAAATACGATCCATTTTCAACCCATATGGCAAACTTTGACCTCGGATCGGAGGATCCTCAACAGATTTGCCAAGTTTTAACATATAATCAAACTTTTTTCTATGTATGGGCTATGAGAGATGTTTAATTCAATGTGAAAAATCTTGTGCTTTACCTTTGTTAACTGTAAACGAGAAGATCTAGTTCCATCCCAAAATATAAATATAAATATAAATAAATGTAAATAATTCCATGCTCAGATAAACTCTTGAATTAACAAGTAAGATTTAAAGAAAAGTTGCAGAGCATTTGCTAAGAAAGGCGACCAACTGTGTGCCCAAATGTTCAATAAAAAATTTGAAAATAAAACCTTTTCATTGAAATTCCGAAGCCTTATGGGGTTCAATAACTTGATATATGTAATTTGTTATTTCATAATAATGTTAGTCGTGTAGTAAGTTAGTTAGTTCTATTTTTTTCACAGGCATTCTTCTCGAAAACATTTGTGTTTTGTTGAATTAACTGTTACCAGAGGCTGCGGCATCTTCTTGCTCGTTTTTTCTTTGTTTTTCACGCATCAGCTCAGCATCCCTGTGTTTGCGTTGCTCGAATGTCATTCCCTTTTTATCTGTGCTACTTTTCTTCTTGGCTAAGTCGGTTTGTTTTTTCTGATTCTTAGCTCGTGCTAAATCTCTTGATTCCTCTTGTCATTTTTGTTTACTAAAATCTTAATCTCCGACTATCAAGGAAAGAAAAATGTAATGATTTTGCAAGCGCTCGCCGCCCTTCTTGTTACTTTTAGTTTTTATGAAACGACAGCCCTAAGACTAAAAAGCAAATACAGATTTGCATTAATAAAATATATCTAATATAATATACAGTTAGGTCACGTTATTTGGCTGCGATGGACGCCTGAAATACTGAACCGATTTAAAATTAGTCTTGTTCATCGTGCACATGTGGATCTCATTTAGGCGGTAGAGTATATTAAAATCAATTTATAGCCGAAATTTTATATTATTGAAAAAAAAAATGTTGACGTTTATCCGAGAAATCGTAGTCATAGAATCAGTTAGAGCTCTGTCGAGAGTCTAGACCAAAGACCAACATTTGTGGAATCAAATTTATGAACGAATGGTTTATGAAATCATATGTTTGCTTGAAGATCATCCCGCTTATTGCAAGAGAAGTTTTAGCAGAGAATATTACGTGATTTCACTCGCGGCACTCGCTCGGTGTAGTGGCGGTTTGTTATGCTACCCATCCACTAGTCAACCAGGCAACTGAGCAATTTATGACCAAATGACCAATAAATGTCCAGTTGTAAAAATTTTCGGTGTCCCAGGCGATCGAACAAAATTTCATCATATTTCTTGAACATTAGAGAAAAAGTATGTATATTTCGAACGTGAAATGTGATAAAATCGTCTTTTGCTGCAAATTTTAGTTCGTTATCATTTTATTTAAACATTTTTTTTTATATAAAAATTATATTAAACTTATTTATATTAAATTAATTTTGTACATTGCAACAGGTGAATTTGGAATGATTTTGTCGCAAATATATAGCTCAAAATATTGTTCAAATGTAGACCAATAGCAGTTTATAACAAATTATTCGCGATTTACATTATATTAGAACCTAATTTTAACCTGAAACATGGCCTTTAATCTTGGAATATACGTCTACATTTACAATAATGCAGATACGAGAAAGGTCGTGCAATGTGGATTTCATAAGTGAAATTAACTTCCAAACCAATGACTCACATTTTTGAGGTGCAATTAAAAATGGACAACTTTTTAAACAAATCAATATTATATTCATTTTTGATTATATTCATTTTTGAAGGAAAAATATAAAAATCGTATATAAATATATAGAAGCATTGCTTAAAATTATTTAGTTTGACTATTATAATCCTGTGAGAAAGTTCTATTAGTGGAATATTATTGAAAAAAAAAATGTTGACGTTTATCCGAGAAATCGTAGTCATAGAATCAGTTAGAGCTCTGTCGAGAGTCTAGACCAAAGACCAAACATTTGTGGAATCAAATTTATGAACGAATGGTTTATGAAATTTTATGAACGAATTTGCTTGAAATCAAGATCCCGCTTATTGCAAGTTTTAGCAGAGTATTTAGCAGAGCGGTCACTATTACGTGATTTCACTGCGTCGCTCGGTGTTGTGGTTTGTTGTTATGCAATTTATCCACTAGTGAAAGGCAAAGCCAATGTAAAAACCAATTTGTCCAGTAAAAATTTTCGGTGTCCCAGGCGATCGACAAAATTTCATTCATATTTCTTGAACATTAGAGAAAAAAGTATGTATATTTCGAACGTGAAATGTGATAAAATCGTCTTTTGCTGCAAATTTTAGTTCGTTATCATTTTATTTAAACATTTATTTTTTATATAAAAATTATATTAAACTTATTTATATTAAATTAATTTTGTACATTTGCAACAGGTGAATTTGGAATGAATTTTGTCGCAAATATATAGCTCAAAATATTGTTCAAATGTAGACCAATAGCAGTTATAACAAATTATTCGCGATTTACATTATATTAGAACCTAATTTTAACCTGAAACATGGCCTTTAATCTTGGAATATACGTCTACATTTACAATAATGCAGATACGAGAAAGGGTCGTGCAATGTGGATTTCATAAGTGAAATTAAATTCCAAACCAATGACTCACATTTTTGAGGTGCAATTAAAAATGGACAACTTTTTAAACAAATTCAATATTATATTCATTTTTGAAGGAAAAATATAAAATCGTATATATAAATATATAGAAAGCATTGCTTAAAATTATTTTAGTTTGACTATTATAATCCTGTGAGAAAGTTCTATTAGTTGGAAATCTGAATAGAAAAATATAGGTACATATTAGTTTTTAGTTATATATTCAGTTATAAATAGCACATTCTGAACAATTATTGATGATAATTTTGATGGATTTATAGATATGGATTCAGAAAATTTCATAGTGAAATTTATAGAAATGTACAAAGCCCATACTTGTTTGTGGTCAATAAGTGACGAGGCATATCATAATAAACAAATGCGCAATAATGCGTTAAATTCAATGGTGCCGGCATTTAAAGAAATTAATCCAGATGCAACTATAGCCACAGTGGATAAAAAAATTAAAAGCATTAGGAGCGTTTTTAACAAGAAGGTTAACAAGGTATTTAATAATATTAAAAACTTCACAATATAAGGAAAATATTATCAAAATTAATTGTTAGTTTAGATGATTTGGACTGTGTTAAACAAACAATATGTTATTCTAGATAAAAGCTTCTATGCGCTCGGGCTGTAGCGCACAAAACGTCTACAAGCCAAAACTCTGGTACTTCGATCATCCTAAATTTTTAGATGATCGACACTACCCAAACATGAGGTCTCTGTGCAGGAGTTCAGAAGAACTTTCAGACGCGAGTATTTTTTTTTATCATATGACAATGACAATCTTACAATTAAATATATATATATATATATATATATATATATATATATATGTATTTTAATTTCGAGCAGATTGATGAAATGCCGACGACCTCGTTTCGTCGTAAGGAAACAAAACGAGACCAGTTGACAGACAAACTTCTACATCACATGGATAAAATAGAACAGGAAAAATCTCGAGAAATGAAAATGGCAGAAATTTCGGAAAGACTCTCGAATTGATGAATCCGAAACAAAAAGAAATCGCAATTAGTTTAATACATCAATTGATGTGGCATGGCATTAACAATTTTCTATCAGAGCATACGACGATAATGAATTGGCCAAATCATAATTATCAATAAATTATATGTTGCATTTGAGTTGTTCTTATTTAAAATATTACTTTATACTATGTAATGTTTTATGTACTTTCGGAGTACTTTCCCGAAGTGTGTGTGCTCCTCTATGGTGTGTATATGCATAATGTCTGATCCTTTTGGAACAGAAGTGTGTATCTGTGTGCGAATCGGTGTCTGGCGGTAACTTGTTGAGTGTTGTATATTTTGGCGTGGTATTAACTTGTAGTCCAGTCATTTGATGCAAAAAAGGCTGTTGCCGGTACAGTACTCCGGGAATTCTGAAAATTGGTAATCTCATAGATTTTGAGGTGCTCTTTACGAAAATCAACTTTGCCACCTCAAATTTGAACGGCAATTTGCCGCCATATGGGAAAAATGGCGTCAAAGAACAGCTTTTTTAAAATATCTCCTTTCTGGCTGATTCTGCGACAAAAGTATCTATCTACGAATTAAACTAGATAAAATTTCCTATAATTCCTTAGAAAACCGTTTTTTTGTAAAATTGATAGTTTGAGAGTACGGCCGCCTCAAAGTCTTTGCTGCTCTCGCCGTAGTATCAAATCTCTCCATATATGACAGCACTTCGAACTTGACCACATTCTCTCTAATAATAAATATTTTCAATGTTAAATTGAGCAAATAAGATCTAGAAATAAAATAATTTAAATATTTTTCGTTTTTTTTGCTAATTTTTTAACACTTCAATGGCAAAGTAGCTATAGGTATACTTATAGCTTAAGTAGCACCTTATAGCTTCAAGTAGCTTGAATTGTTAAAAAATCACCAAAAAAACAGAAAAATATTTGAATTAATTTATTTCTAGATCTTATTCGCTTAATTTAACATTGAAAATATTTATTTATTAGAAGGAATGTGGTCAAGTTCAAAGTGCTGTCATATATGGAGAGATTTGATACTACGGCGAGAGCAGCAAAGACTTTGAGGCGGCCGTACTCTCAAACTATCAATTTTACAAAAAACGGTTTTCTTAAGAATTGTAGGAAATTTTATCTAGTTTAATTCGTACATAGATACTTTTATCGTAGAATGAGCCAGAAAGGAGATATTTTAAAAAAGCTGTTTTTTGGCGTCATTTTTCCAATATGGCGGCAACTTGCCGTTCAAATTTGAGGTGGCAAAGTTGATTTTCGTAAAGAGCACTTCGAAATCTATAAGATTACCAATTTTCAGAATTCCCGGAGTTCTGTACCGGCAAAATGACCAAATGACTGGACTATTGGTGAATGATTATTAAATATATTTGTAAACAAGTAATAAGGTGTTTTATTAATTAAATAATACTAGAGTAAATCTAGTTTAAAGCTCAGAAGTGGGATTGGATCGGAACGTCGAGGATTTATTGGAGAACATTTTGGAGTGGATTATTGAGATAGGCGATTTCAATAATCTTTTGGGGTGCCCGTGTTATTAATCAGGCAGATTATAATTACAAGGTGCGATAGAAAGCAAGATGTGCTACTCTATCGTACAAGTGCAGGTGTTATTTTGTAAGTTTTGTGTGGTTGTGCAGAAGTGAGGTTAACACGTGATTAACTAAAATAAGAACAAAGTAGAAGAAAATATCGAAAGCATGGCGTGATATTGGCGTTGGCGAGTCGCGGAGCTGCGATATTTGTAACTAAAAACTTGAGATTGCAAAAATAAATTAAGATTGAGAGCTCGGTGCCAGAAGCCTTACGAGTGTTATCGTTGACAGATTTTATTACTCTTATTAGGGCGACAATCGGTGATAAAACGAGAGCATCTCGAGCAGCGAATTGTTAGCGACGATACCGGTATTCGACGGATCGTCTGAGCAATGCATCGAGGCATGGTTTGAACGCGTTGAGGCCGTGCGTGACGCATACTAGGTGGCTAAGAAGAAGATAGTGGTGCTGATGATATCGAAGCTTTCGTGGCGCGCGAGACAATTATACGACAGCAAAGCAGAGTATGCAACCTCTTTATATGATGAGCTTAAGAGGGCGCTAACAGCATTTTTCAAGAATAGAGAAGACCGGATGACTCGGATGAGAAGGTTCGAGTCTCGGAGGTGGCGAAAACAAGAAACATTTAGCGCATACTTCCAGGAGAAGATGGTGCTAGGGAATAGGTTGGGTTTTATCGAGTCTGGCCTGCTAGCCTATATGATAGACGGCTTCGACAACCCGCCACTCCAGGCTCAAGCCAAAATGAACCAATTCAAAGATTTAGCGACCCTGCTAAGTGTGATGAACGAGCTGACAGCGGAGGAACGCGGATTCAATATGATGCCACCTAAGAGGATACAGTCAACAGGGTTCCCTAAAGTGGAACCACACGGTGCATATTCCCCGGTGAGGTGTTTTATTTGTGGTGGAGTAGGACATATGGCATCCAGGTGTATGAAACCAAAAAATGATGGAGTGGCGTGCTACAACTGTGGCTCAACGAAGCATCAACAGAGATTTTGCAAAAATGCCCGCAGTACGGCGCAGGTGGCGCCGGATAGCACTACACTGTTAATAAACCCCATACCGGCCTACAAGGTTGAAACAAAGGTTTTTGACGTGGAGTTTGAGAGTGTGATAGACTCGGGTTCAGTAATATCGATTACCAAGCGATCTTGAATGTTAATATTTGCAGCCAATCGTTGAAATAAAAAAACAATAAATAATGAACAGATATTGTTGAAGAAGATTCTTTACATCAGAAAAATGACTCAATTTCCCTAAATGAATTTAATCAAGAAGCAACCACCAGTAAGGATTCAGAATGGTTTGAAGTAAGAAACAAAAAATTCAAAAGAAATTTAAATGAAGAATCAGCATGCAAAAAAACATCTTCAAATTCGAACTACTGGCTAAACCCAACTCCCACAAGCAATATATATGAAGTTTTAGCTAATCCTAATACCGAAGACTCGAGTGATAAATGCAGCCCAGTTAACAGACCGCCGCCAATTTTTATACATGAGGTACGTGATATCAAACCATTAGCTCAACTCTTAGAATGTGAAGCAAAAAATCTTTATCAAATAAAAGTTATTGACGAAACTAGGGTTAGAGTTAATCTTGATAATGCTAAACTTTACAATAAAATTCTCAAACTTCTGAAAGAGAGGGGTACTCAAATGCATTCTTTCCAGGAGAAATATAAAAGAACGTTCAAAATAGTGGTTAAAAACCTACATTTCAGCACGGATACAGATATGCTCAAAAATGAAATACAACAGTTAGGTCACAAAGTCGTTCGTATTGAGAACATTAAAAGCAGAATCTCAAAATTCCCTCTGAACATGTTTTTAATTGAGCTTGAACAACAACCTAATAATAAAGATTTTTATAAAATTGATTTTTTATATAAAACTAAAGTGGAAATAGAGGCAAAGAGGTTCTCTAGAGAAATTGTTCAGTGCACTCGCTGCCAAAGGTATGGTCATACCAGAAATTATTGCCACCGCACCCCCAGATGCGTTAAATGCGCTCAAAATCACTTGACAGAAAAATGCAAGTGGGAAAAAAAGGTCGACCAAGTGAAGTGTGTCCTTTGTAATGAAAATCACCCTGCTAACTATAAAGGCTGTCACGTCTATAAAGAATATATTGAAAAAAAAAACACTTCATTACGTCAGAAAACAAGTAATGTGCAAAATTTAAAACCAAATGCTACTTTAAGACCGGGCGTAACTTACTCCAATATTACTAGAAACAACAGAACTTTACCTACTGACTCAACAAACTCAATAAACAATAGTAACTCTGAAAACAATATTAACAATAAATCTAATGACTTAATAGAACTTAAAAACATGATTAAAATATTGACAGAACAAATGGGCATAATGCTTAATTTACTAACAACAATTTTATCTAATAAAAAATAATTATGTCTATGCAACTAACAATTTGCATATGGAACTCGAACGGCTTGAGCAATCATGTCCATGAACTCAAACAATTTTTAACTACCAATGACGTAGACAAATGTTTTAATTGACCTAATGACTATGCTAATTTCCGAGACGCATTTTACCGAGACAAATCACAATATTCGTTTTCCTAATTATCAGACATATACCACAAATCACCCTGACGACAGACCTCACGGTGGCACTGCCATTATCATAAAGTCAAACATAAAACATTACGAGACAGAACCTTTTTATACTGACTACATACAATCGACAAATGTTTTAATTGACCTAATGACTCACAAAATTACAGTATCGGCAATCTATTGTCCGCCAAGGCACATTATTACTGAAAATCAGTTTACAACTTTTTTTACCAGCCTTGGAAATTTGTTTATTGCGGGAGGTGATTATAACGCAAAGCACACATTTTGGGGATCTAGACTAATAACACCTAGAGGCCGTCAATTGTATAACACAATAAATAATAATAATCTTCGGACATTTTCTACGGGTGAGCCCACATACTGGCCAACTGATTTGAACAAAATTCCAGACCTCCTCGATTTTTTTGTAGCCAAAAATATTAAAAACGAGAGTGTTGAAATAAATTCAAGTCTGGATCTCAGTTCTGATCATTCACCAGTAATTCTTAAATACTCCACTAATACTCCAACCAAAGTCATGAGTTCGCTTACAAACAAATTTACCGATTGGCTTCTTTTCCAAGAATACATCGAAGACACCATTAACTGTAATATTCCATTAAAAAGTGAGAATGATTTGAATATTGGTATCAACAACTTCACAAATACATTAATTGCAGCAGCTAAAATTTCGACTCCTATTCTAAATCACAATCACAGTCACTCTGTGCCCATAGATATTAAAAAAATCATTGCACAGAAAAGGAAATTAAGAAGAATTTGGCAAATAACTAGATCACCGTAAGATAAAAGAAAATTTAACAGTGCATGCAGAGACCTGAAAAATTTAATAATAAATTATAAAAATGTTTCTTTTGAAAACTACTTACATAATCTTTCTGCAAGTAGTGAAACAAATTATTCTCTTTGGAAAGCAACCAAAAAATTGAAAAGACCAATTGTACCAATTCCTCCTTTAAGAAAAACAGACGGTTCATGGGCAAGAAGTCCAGAAGAAAAAACTAATGCATTCGCCGAACACCTGCGCCTCACATTTCAGCCATTTTCACGTAAATGCAACTCTAATGATGAGCAATTCATTTATGATTTTCTTCAGGATTCACCGTCGCTAGTGACTCATGATGTTAATCGTTTTACTGCGGCTGAAGTAACTCAAGAAATTGCAAAAGCAAATTCTAGAAAATCACCTGGACCAGACCGGATTTCTATTAAAATGCTTAAAGAACTTCCAAGAAAAGCTATTAGAATGCTCACAATAATATATAACTCTATACTGAGAATGAAAACTTTTCCGCAGTCTTGGAAAAGAGCTAAAATAATCCTTATAGTGAAACCAGGTAAAGACCCTTATCTATTATCTTCCTACCGGCCGATAAGTTTATTGTCTTGCATATCGAAAATATTTGAAAAGCTAATTCTTCAACGGATTAAAATAATCCTACAAGAACAAAGTTTTATTCCGAACCATCAATTTGGGTTTCGCGACAAACATTCAACAATTGAGCAAGTTCACAGAATAATAAACGTAATTAACAATGCGCTGCATAATAAAGAGTACTGTTCTGCGGCTTTTTTGGATCTCAAGCAGGCGTTTGACAAAGTATGGCATACCGGATTAATGTATAAAGTTAAAAGATGTTTACCAGATTCTTTATTCCTATTAATAAAATCCTATTTACAAAATAGAAACTTTTTTGTCAGCGTCGCCGATAGGGACTCAAATATTACCGAAATTAATTCTGGAGTGCCTCAAGGGAGTGTCCTCGCCCCAACACTATTTTTAATTTTTACAGCTGATTTTCCAACTTCAACTGACACGAGTTTAGCCACATTTGCTGATGATACGTGTATCATCGCCACAACCAAAGATCCGACTGCAGCTTCCAACAGCCTTCAGCACCATCTCAGCTTAGCTGAGAAATGGTTTTCGTTGTGGAGGATAGAAGTAAATAGCACAAAATCAGTCCATATAACTTTCACGCTTCGCACCCAAACTTGCCCAGCAGTTGTACTCAACGATGAAATTATTCCGTCCAAAGAATCAATAAAGTATCTCGGCATTCACTTAGATAGGAAACTCAACTGGAAAGTACACATAAAGAACAAAAAACAACAAATAGATCTAATCTTCAAAAATTATTATTGGCTCTTAAACAGAAAATCAGAATTATCAACTTACAACAAATTACTTATATATAAGGCTGTGATCAAACCCGTGTGGACCTACGGATTACAACTTTGGGGTACTGCTAAAAAGAGCAATTTAAACATAATACAACGAGCACAAAACAAATTCCTGCGGCAAATATTAAACGCTCCTCACTACACGCCAACATGGATTCTCCACAAAGACACGGGTATCCCTACAATTCAAGAACATATATCAATGTTTGCCTGTAATTATAAGAATAGAATTGACGCACATCCAAACCAACTAGCATGCAACTTATACCAGGAAGGCCAGCCGACCAGGCTCAAAAGGAAAATACCTCGAGATTTATTATAGTTTATTTTTATATATATATATTTTTTTACTCTCTATATATTTGTCTTTAGTTTTTTCTTTTTATATATTAACTATAGTAGATACACCACTGGGCGTATGTACTAATTTGTAAACAACCAATTGTAAACACTTGTCAGCATTCTCTGCTAAATATAATTATTTTTATAGATTGCAGAATGAAAATAAAATAAAAAAAAAAAAATATTGTTCTTTGAATAAATATTATTTATGCTTATTTGTATAGTTGCTTG